AACGGTCGAACGAAAACGTTGCGCACGAACGGTGCATTTTTGGCGAGAGACGTGTTGCTGAGCTCCGGAGAAAATTTTTAGAGTTTGATAATGCCTACGGAAAAATCAGCGACATGTCTGGCTGACCGTCGCGACCCATCGTCGGAGCTGTGCGAGCGAACCGACGTAAACGATTTTAACGTTGGTCGATCGTTTTATCGGACCACACGCGCACGGTATACAAAGTCCTACTTTTCCGTCGCCAATGGTCGCGGGCAAATCTCGCGAGAGAATAAAGAATTAAGTTAGAAAACGTTTAGAATCGCGGGCGGTACTCCTTTCGCCCAAAAATGACCTTCCTCTTTTTGCCCACGTCCTCTTTTCGACCAAAAATGAAAAAACAGTTTCCTCTTTTCGCCCAAAAATAATTGTATTCTTTTCGCCCATGGTTTCACGTTTTACATTTTGGAAACCACTGTCTCAAAATTAATAATTTTTAAAAAAATCATATAATAATCAAATAAAAAAATAGAAAAAATATATAATTATTAATAATAATTTAATAAGTGTTAAAAATAAGTATTTAAAATAGTGTTATCGATGTAAAATAACTAATAAGTAATTTGATCAGGTTACTACTTAAATAAATAATTTGTTTTGTTGTTGTAAAATAATACAAATATTCATATTAATTATGAATTTTAAGTAATTATAACATTTATTAAAGTGTTTTTAACTATATATTTCGATAGAAGAGTCGGCACCTTTATACACTTTTCTCGGCTGACTATATTAATAACAATCAAAAACGTGATTTTATCGAATATCAAATAAGATTTTTTAAAAATTATTAATTTTGAGAAGGTGTTTTCCAAAATGTAAAACGTGAAACTATGGGCGAAAATAATACAATTATTTTTGGACGAAAAGAGGAAACTGTTTTTTCATTTTTGGTCGAAAAGAGGACGTGGACAAAAAGAGGAAGGTCATTTTTGGGCGAAAAGAGTTCCGCCCAGAATCACAACGATCGACTGCTGCCGGGGACGCGGTCGCGACGAAACTTTCAAACTGGTTCCTTTCACGACCGTTTTCGACCGCCACGCGCTACAGATCGTTCGCTTTTCTTATATTTTATTTTTTAAACGTTTTCGTGTTTTTTTTTCCCTCTCTCGCAGTGTTTGCCGTTTGGTTCCTTTCCGTACGTGCATCGCGTAACATCGTAAATTTATACTTATCACCGTCGAAACACGATTTTTTTTCGCTCAACTTACTTCGAGATCGAGACATCGTTTGTGCCCCGCGACGTCAGTTTTTGCATTACCAGCACAAGTCGTGAAGAACCGAAAAGGAAAGTATACAGTAGATGCGCCATCGAAATGCGCGGACGAGGAACGGGTTCAAATTTAAAGAGAATATTATTACAGATCGTATGTTGGGTCTGGAGGAGAAAGATTAATCATCACCGTAATGCATAACGGTATTGTAATATATACGAATCATTACGTACATTTTGAAAATGAAAACGAATGATTATTTTTAAAGTTTAATATTTTTTTATATTTTTTTTTATCGTTTTTAATTAATTTAGTTTTATGACAATCAATTCAACATTATTTTTCGTCACAATATATAATAATAATAATAATAATAATAATAATAATAGTAATAATAATAATAAACATAATAAAATAATAATAATAATAATAATAATAATGATAATAATAATAAAATCTTAAAATGTACAAAGTTTAAGCCAGGAAAAAAAAACGAGAGTATAATGAATATACGCTATGTATATAAATATAATACATGTATACAGATAATATTATAATATTTTAGATGTAAAACAATATTATGTATATAATATGCGAAACGTATATTATATTCGGAAACAAAAAAAATTGTATCTTACATATACTTATACACGCCTCATTTAGCGTATTAGGTTGACGAAAACGTTATTGATTTTTTTTCTTCTTCTTATAATACTAATAATACTCTTAGTTTGTACGAGAAATGGGGGAAAACAAATAATAATAATAATAAATAAAAATCAAGGTAACGAAGAAACGTTTCGGAAACCGTTCGCGCTAAATAATCGCAACGCGGTGCAGTTCTATTGAAACATGCACCGTTGTTACCGTGTTGTTCGTTTTCCCGAAACCGCGGCACCGCGTCTCTCCGAAACCACCGGCCACAGGGATCAACCGTAGCCGTGGGCAAACACGAATCGAGCGCGTTACCATCCCGTACCGGAGGAATTGGAATTGATAAAACACCACCGATTGACGGAAAAAAAAAAAAATCGTTTATGAAATCCTTGTACGGGAATTCGTTTGCAGAAGTACGGTTACGTCGCCCGGCGGCCCCGTGATATCGGGGTTTACGGTTTTTTTTTGTTTTCCGTTCCACATCGTCCCGCCGACTGTTGCGGAGACAAATCCGTTTCGACGATGAACAACGTTTAGACATTTAAACGTGTACAACGAGTTGTACGAGTCAACGACGAACGACGGGCGAGCGCGTAACACGGTACAAATATTTTTAGTGTTCAATTCGATTCGAGGGATTCCCGATTCCTATCACTTTTTAGTATATGTTTACGTACAAGAAAATAATGGGTTGTATAATATTGTTGTAGTTTGGGAGGAGGGGGCAGTATTCAAAGTATATTATCATGACGATTATTTATTTAAGAAAGATTTTTACAATTTTTCAAATCAAATAAAATGATCGCAATTCAACTAAATGGTATTTAGTTCTAAGCATTAGCCTAACAATAATAATGATAATAATATATAGCAGTAAAACACACAATAGTCTAATAACAATAACGAAAAAAAAAAAGTAAAAGAAAAACACAATGGTTCCATATTTTTTTTTTTTCTTAAATATATGCAACAAAAAATATTGGCCCTAAGGTGCGGTCTATATAGGCAATAAACAATAATAATGACAATAATAATAATAATATAATGGTAGATATTTTTATTTATAATAATTATAACAATGATAATAATTTTTCAAAAAAATATATGCATCATATATTTTTATAAACATAGTACGAATAAAATGAAATAAGAAATAAATAAATGGTTTACAATAAAATAAAACGATAAATGAATAAAATTTGAAAAGTATCAAATAAATAAATGTTCTAAATTAAAACAAAAAAAAAAATATATATATCATAATAATTACGCCACATATTTTATAATTTTAAATATTATTTTTAGTTTTACTGGCCCCATTTCGTACTGTACAAAAAAAAAAAAAAAAACACGTAGTTTGTAATATGTAAAATGCTTTTTTTCAATATTATCATTATTATTTTCGGTTTACTAGAATTCCGTTTACTCTCCAACTCCGGATACTTAAGAGTAATTGGACAATCACTAAATATTTGTTTGGCAGTGCCTTGCGCGTACGAGTTAATGAGATGTAGTAGTTGTTCGAAGATTTTTATTTCATGAAGTTTATTAACGTTTTATTTATTTGTTCTTTTGTGTTTTTATTTTATTTCTTACTGAAGCCATAATGGGGATGCATGGGCGAATTAGATCAGAGGCTATGTAGTATAGACTAAGTAAAACAAAAAGAAAACAATTTAAAAAATTAAAATTTATTTTAAACGATTACAATATAGAATAGTTTTATAGAATAATATAGAATATAATAATTATTATTTTATGACGAATTGGTCGAAACACGATAACACGAAATCTTATGGAATTAATATTATAAACAAAAAATAAACAGCGTATAATATAATTGAAATATATCGTTCGGAATTTCTCACTAAAAAACTAAGTGTCGCATTAACGTCGACAGGAGAAGGATGCCCTAATATATCGAATTTGACTAACGGATCTAATAAATCAGTTCTACAAATGTTATTAAATTAAAATACATTCGCCTAATATAATATAATAAATTACGACTATTAATTATTTATTAAATTTTCATAATTAATATTACATTATTATTTACAAAGACTACTAAATATACTTTACAAAAAAAAAAAAAAAATTAAATAAATAAATTATTCACTCCACATACTGTTTTATAACCCGGATAATTTTATTTAATTTTCTCGTAACCAATGGGTTTGTATTCGAACACAATTGCAATATTATCGTTTCTCAGGAATACCGATTCGCTTTAAAAGATATTATTTATCAATTTTATACTTATGTGTTTATGTAAACCAGGGGTTCAGTATCGCGGAAACGTGCACCGTGCGAGTACATACGCGAACTCGAATGTCTGGGATTTTGATCATTAGGCTCCTGAGTCACAATATTTGTATAATATATGTGTATAATATTTTATATGTTGGTAGAACACAACAGTTATTATAACCATTACACTAAAAGTAATAATAGTAACAATAATAATCACGTGATTATAATTATTTTTGTCAAAAAACTGAAAACGTATTAATAATAGAATTATGTACACCCGATGATTATAATATTATTTAATAAAATGTTTTATAATTCAATATTTTAGTTTTTAAAATATCGTTTAATCATAACTTTTTTTTAATTTTTTTTTTTTTTTTTTTTTCATCAATTATATTTAAAAATTATTTTAATGCATTTATACTTTGGTATTGTAAACATGTATATTATACATATACATATTTTTACGCGCTAAAATATATAAACATATATATACACGCGTATAACTGGTAACAAAATATGTATAAACATAAAATATATATATATATATATATATATATTTAATAATAATAATAATAATTATTATTAATAATTTTAATAATAATGAATAAAATACCACCGTTAAACGGAAAGCTACGGTTTACTTGTCTGTATTGTGCGTGCGTGTATTTTTTATGATAGTGATATTTAATTTTATCAGGTTCAAGGATACTATATTGTCTGCGGGCGCTAATGGTTACGGTGGTAAGACTGTAGTGTTTGTGTTTGTGTTTGTGTGTGTGTGTGTGTTTGTGTGTGTGTTTGTGTGTGTGTGTGTGTGTGTGTGTGTGTGTGTGTGTGTGTGTGTGTGTGTGTGTGTGTGTGTGTGTGTGTGTGTGTGTGTGTGTGTGTGTGTGTGTGTGTTTGTGTGTGCGTGAATGCCTGAAATCGTGTGCGCGTGTTTAAGTGAAGTGCCGTTTCTTGTGAAGCGCCAAATGGTCGGACCTGGAGAAACATCGGTCGCAGTGGCGACACTTGAACGGTTTGGCGCCAGTGTGCTTGCGGTAATGGCGGGTCAGCTCGTCCGACCGGGCAAAGCTCCAGCCGCAGCCGATCCATTCGCATTTGTACGGTTTTTCGCCTGCAACGGACAAAAAGGATACAAATAAATATACACACGAAGTAACATTACGCGAACTACGGTTGGTAGGTATACTTTATTCACAGGCGACATAATGATACGCGTACACGCGGGACAAAAAAATGTGTTGCGCGCCGAGATGTGAAACGCGATTCGCTAAACGGATGAGGTGGTTTTTTTTTTTTTTTTTTTTGGGTCAGCATTAGCACTGATACCGGTCATGAAGGGCTACCTAAACAAGCGTTTAACGGTCGACTGTTACGCTTTTGGAATTCACTTTTGCCCGTAACGTTTACCGGACAAATGTACAGGGCACCGAAAACCGTTTTCACTACTCCTATTACCGTGGTCGGCATCACGTTACATCACCACTAGCGGTAATGGGCGACGCGAAAGGACGATACGAGAACGACTGAAGCGCGTTCTCACTCAGTAAGAATCCGATTAATCGATCGGCTTTGAAAATCCGTCGTTCACCGACCAATCGTCCGCGTCGTGTGCTGAATCACAGTCGTACGCGCCGCCATCGCCGTTGTTCCGGCAAACGTGCGCACGTGTCGTTTTTGGTCGCGCGCATTTCGATTGCGATTCGTTACTACTGTTGCGCGATATAAGTTAACGACACGCTAACGGTATTCACCGGGGAGGGGGGGAAGGAGACGTTATTTTATTTTTCGATTTCGACCGGCGGATTTCGAATAACGTTCACGCGCCGCGATCGAGTCCTGCGATCGCGGTTCGCGGGGTAGAGGAAGGAGCATTAAAAAAAAAAAAAAAAAAACTTTCGGGACTTCGACGGGCGCAACGCGCGTACGTGCACGCGAGCGGTAAGGAGACGGACGGGACGCGTGCGCGTGTGAGTCATACGTATACGTGAACAAGGGTAGTCGATGTGCACGTGTGCGCCGCGTTTACGCGTTGTAGGGGGTGCTGGTGATGGTGGTGGTGGTACGGTGTTCCTGGGCATGCCGCGGAAAAGACGCGCAGGAGAAAGCGAACGCGGCTGTGCATCCGAATCGGCCCTGAAACACGTGTGCGCGCCGAAATACGTTTGTATACAATATGCGAAAGCCGAAGCCGGGAACGCGTGCGCCAGTAATATCCCGGTGACGAGACGCGGTGATTCAATATTTATCATTACCGTCGTTATTATAATCGACGTCGTTTTCGTCATTGTTGTTTTATTATTATTATTATTATAATTATTATTACTATTATTGTTAATACTATTACTATTATTATTGATATTGTTATTAAATTCCACTCGGCAGAAACATTTAGGTCGTCGGCGAACGCAATCGATAACACCCGCCGACCGCGCGCGCGGTCATAATTCATCGGTTCCGTATTAATTTTCCGTAGACGTTTTTCTCCTCCGCGAAAACGTTATTGCGTTCCACTGCGAAAACCTATACAGTTACGCTGACATTAACATGTACCTGTATCGCGTGTTGCCGCGTACTATACGTGCACAACCCTCTCGACTGACGTTTCTTGGTCGCGCGTAAAAATAAAAAAAAAAAACGCTAAGATTATAATACACCACGACGTTATCGACGCTTTGATAGCATAGACGTATTTGATGATCGCGTAACATCTAATCGCCGGATTTTCAAATTTTCCTAAAAACTACCGTATAAGATAGTAATTACATCATTACGTTGTACTTTACTTCGGTATCGATTTTTTCCCGTGTTCATAAACACGACGAAATTGTAAATTATAGTCTAAAAATAATAACGATTTTTAATTCCAATTTCGAGTGCAACCGTTCGGCCATGATTACTCAGAACTATTTTCATTTTCATTTCAAAAAATGTTCGTGAACATGAGAGCGAGGACGATAAAAGTTTCTTTTCTTATCTTTTTTTTTCTAAAACAACAAGACTTATCGATATACTTGCGTTTGTCAGTGATTTCGTATTATGATACACGATTTGTTGTATCGTTGCATAATGATCTTGTTTAATACGTCGTATTACGGCTTAGCGTACGTTTTCGTTATCGGTGTTACGTAGAACGCGACTCGACAAGATTTCCCCATCATAATCTAGGTATACATTGTACGTACAATGGGTTTGCTATTGCATTGAGGTACACGGTACAGGTGCTGTTAAACGAAACTAGTTATCGAAATTTGTCTCCAACGCACGCAACGCGCGTACATCGAGTTCAATCTTTCGGGCATTCCACTGCAACGTCGTCACCGTCGTCGTGTATATCGGCATTGCATGCCTGTTCTATTATTATTAAGGTAGGCGTACGCAGCTCCCGCGTTTTAAGACTTGGACAAATACGAACGGTACGTTAAGTACGGCCCGAATCCGATAATTCCACTCCAACCCTCCGAGATGAGCGTCTCCCTCGCCATCATCCCGCAGCCGAGAAAACGCTCACTAGTATACACAATAATAATAACAATAATAATAATAATAATAATAATAATAATAATAATAATAATAATAATAATAATAATAA